CAATCAACTGAGCCACCCAGGTGCCCCAAGAATCATTGTTTTTTGTTTTTGTTTTTTTTTTTTTTAATTTTTTTTTTTCAACGTTTATTTATTTTTGGGACAGAGAGAGATAGAGCATGAACGGGGGAGGGGCAGAGAGAGAGGGAGACACAGAATCAGAAACAGGCTCCAGGCTCTGAGCCATCAGCCCAGAGCCCGACGCGGGGCTCGAACTCACGGACCGCGAGATCGTGACCTGGCTGAAGTCGGACGCTTAACCGACTGCGCCACCCAGGCGCCCCAAGAATCATCGTTTTCATTGGTTGGGGTAGAGACTAAAGTTGTATAAGAAAACATTCGTAGTCTTTACAGATGGATATAGGGCTGAAACTCTAAAAAGAGTTTGCTAATTGCTTAAAATATTTTGGCAGGGGTGCCTGGGTGGCTCAGTTGGTTAAGCATCAGACTCTAGACTTCAGCTCAGGTCATGATCTCACGGTTCATGAGTTCAAGCCCCACATCGGGCTCTGTGCTGACACTGCAGAGCCTGCTTGGGATTCTCTCTCTCTCTCTCTCTCCCTCTCTCTCTTTCTCTGTCTCTCCCCTGTTTGAACAATATCTCTCTCTCTCTCTAAATGAATAAATAAATAAACTTAAAAAATATACATTTTGGTAGCCATGCAAAGAGAGGATGAACAAGGAAAATGTTGTAAAATAAAAAATCTGGCTGACAAACATATATGGGGGGTTATTAGTCTAGTTTGGGGCATGACTAGATATTTTTACTTTAATTTTTATTTATTTATTTATTTAGAGAGACAGCATGCATGCAAGTGGGGGAGGAGCAGAGAGAGAGGGATAGAGAATCCCACGCAGGATCCATACCCAGCACAGAGCCCAACGTGGGGCTCGATCTCAGGACCCTGAGGTTATGACCTGAGCCAAAATCCAAAGTCGGACGCTTAAACCCGGGCACCCCCACATTTTTTCTGAGTAACTTAAAAATGCCCTCCTACTCTTGGTTTGTTTGATTCAGGATCCAGAGAATGTTCTTATATTGTAGTTGGTAATAATGTCTCTTTTAATCTAGAACAGGTGTTTCCCGATGGACTTCTTGAAGAAACCGGGTCCGTCGTATTGTAGAATGTTCCACATTCTGAATTTTTCTCTTTGCTTCTTCATGGGATTATTTAAATTACACTTCCGTTTTCTGTATTTCCTGTAATTATAATTTATACTTATAAAAAATTATAAATTTTTATAATAAACAATTTCATTTCAGGGCTTTCATTCACAGAGCCATCTGCTGAGAACCAATCCGTGTGTTAAGGGCTTTGCAGACATTTCTTGCTGCATCCTCACAACTGCCTTAGGCAGCAGATAATATTTTCACCCCCCCCTTTCATAGCTCAGAAAACTTAACGAAACATCAACCAGTTTGGGGTACAGCCAACAGGCCGGCGCATCGCCCGTCATCTCAACAAAGCTTCGGAGACTGAGTATACGACTGAGACTGAGTAAACTTGTCCATTTCACAAAGCGTTTCTGCACGCGGGCTGCAGCACAGGTTGGCAGGCAGCTCCCCCAAACCAGGCGCTAACCTCAGCACAGGGGAGGGCGGGAGGTGCCGGACGAGAGAAAAGGGGCTGATTGATAGGCAGGGGACACACGGTGGAAGGGAAACAACAGAACGACAGAAAATCAACAAGTTGGTGACACATGGAGGCCCTCATGGAAAGGGGCGATGGAACAGATGGGAGAAACAAAGGCAAAAGGCAGTGGGCGGGGCGGGGGCAGGGAGGGGGCGCGAAATGGGAAGAAAAGAAGACCGAGAGAGCAGGACAGATTCACTCCAACCACAGGCCACCTTCCGTCCTGCCCCCATCCCTCACACCAGCTGAAAAGGAGAGCCCTACAGGGCGGGAGGAAGGACCAGACGGATACTGAATGTACAGCGATGTCCGGACGTAACTACAGACGTGTGTTTGGCGACGTTACCATGCACTCTTGTCTCCCCATCCCCCGCCCCCCCCCCGCCCCCCCCCCCCCCCCCCGTCCCACGATTGCTGCTCTTTCCTGTGACCTGCCAAGTTCAGACCTAGCTTCCTCTGCCCAGCTCCAAGCTCACGAAGGGGAAGGAAGGGAAGAGGAAGGAATCATTTATTCATTTAAGCAACTTTTAAATTCTTCAAAACAGCTTCACCGAGAGAACTCACAGGCCATCAGTGCCCAAGGAAGCTGCTCACAGGGCAGAACCTGTGTGACTGAGGCCAGGACGCAAGGCCACCTTAATGCCAGTAAGGGCATCCGATCAAGGTCCCCTGGGGTCATCTTCGGGTAAGGGTTGGATCAAAACAATGGGAAGGAAAGACATGTCTGGGGGCCTGCATGTGTGTTGCGGGGACGGCGGACAGGAGCGGGGGGAGGATCAGAAAACACAACGGGAGAGATAACCTTCAGTGCATTTCACAGACTGGCACGAGAGCACAGGCGACAGCGGGTTCGTCACAATCTTCCAGTGTGCCTTAGTAACAGGGAACCCCCGCTCGCATCACAGGTTGAGAAACACCTTCCTCTCGTAGCAGCATTATGTATAACAGGCAAAAAGTGGAAATAACCCAAACATCCGCCGACGGATGAATGGATGAACAACACGCGCACAGCCACATCTTATGGAATATCACCGAGCACAAAAAGGAATGAAGTACCCGCACATGCCACCACATGGAGGAACCTTTAAAATATGAGAGAAGCCCCATGCAAAGGCCACGCATCGTCTGATTCCATCCGGGAGGAATGTCCATGCTGGGCGAATCCACAGGGGCAGGAATCAGATTAGTGGTATCTCGGGGTGGGGGTGGGGGTGCTGATGGGTATGGAGCCTCTTCTGGGGGTGTTGGAAACGTTCTAAGATGAGGCTGGGTTCAGGGCTGCACGACTCTGTGAACACGCTAAAAACTGCTGAACTGCACACGTGAAACGAGAGAGACGCCGTGGCAAGTAGGTCTCAACAGAGCTGTAGACCTATTTTTAAATTTCAACTAATAAATAAGGCGTTTCTTTCTTCCCTTGTTTCCCAAAGACACGAATTTCTCTCTCGTTACCGTGAGAGTTTTGTTTTCCGTTCTTTCGTACAAAAGCAGAAGCAAAGAGGCAGCGGGGGGGGGGGGGGCGGTTATTTATATAGATGACAGTTAACCCAACGCCGTGAACGCAAGGAGAAGCAGCAATGAAGCATGAGATGAAAGTCAAACTCTCTCGACCGCTCCGTTCCGTAGCCAAATCCCGACGCTCGACGCTCGGGATGTAAGATTTCTAGGTAGCTACGGGCCGCTAGCTTTCCACACATTGTGCTCTGAGCACAGACGGGGCAGTACTCCGCCTGCTTCTCCGGGGAACGGCATCCAGCTTTTCACCACTGAATGTCAGGGGCTGTGAAAGAAGCTCTATCGCCTTCATACATGGCCAAGTTCTGGAGGCTAGCTAAAAAGTCTGCCAAAACCCGAAGGCTTTTCTGCACCGGTTTCTACTTTAGTTGAACACAAGAGAGCATCATGCTGCTTTCTTAAAAAAAACAAAACACAAAAAACTATCCAGTTCTCACAGGGTGACCCTCAGCAGTACATTTTATATTCATTGTTTCCTTTCCAAGAGCCTTTACAGAATGGCTGGACAAGGAGAACTACAAATCAGAATAAGTCACTTCACCGACCTGAGTCTATGACTCCTTACTTATAAGGAGGAGGGCTGCCCACAATTACTTCCAAGGATATTCAGTCTCCAGGGGATCGGTCATTGTGGGTCTGTGAATCATGGAGACAGGACTAAATGCAGAAACGGAGTTCCAGGAAACTTTTGTATAACCGGTTTCTTGCAATTTTAATAAAGTCATTTCCTCGAGTATTAAAGTCATTTAAAAATGATGCCACAGTTCCTCGGCAAATCTTACCTGAGTCCTTGTGGGAGGCAAGTAAAGGGAAGGAAAGAAGGTTCCAATTCTCTCATATTCAGCTAAGGTGATTTCATGTGAAATCCTGGAATTATCTGTTTATCACATTACTATGGGCAGATTAACAAAATACCCAGCTGGCAGGCCAAACGATGAATCCTATCTGAGTTGAGAATAAAAATATAGTGTAGGAAACTTCTGGACAGCAGGAATGGATTTGGGGGGATGAAAAAAAGAAAGTATGTGGACTCCAGCTCTTATCTAACCTCTAAACAAACGGCCAGCCCTTCGGAAGCATAATACTCCAGTGCTCCCCAAGCCTTGGAACCTCACACTAGAGCTATTCCTGTCCAGTCCTACCTTCTCCAAGCACTAGCTGCTGGTAATCGGAGAACACGCCTATACATCCACACACTTGCTCCGGCCAAGCCCAGCACTGCCCAGAACTGGGTGCCAGCTAGAGAGAAATGGATCCTTGACCTCTATGCACACAACAGGAGAGTCCTGGTGACCTGCTAAGTAAGGCTCAGGGATAAGCCTTACTTACTGAATGGAGCCTCAGGGATAAGAGTAATTGATGGGGAACTGACAATAAGGAGCAGTGTGTAAAGCCTGTCAGCCAGCGAAAACCGATGAGATCAAGTGCGCCAGCCCCACACTTTGCAAGGAGCCGGCCAAACACCGGAGTGCAATATGTTTATGAAGACACGGGACACCTCCTTGCGATCACGGAGAGTACAACAGCAGTGAGGAAAGGTGGGGACCTCGGAAGCGGGTCCGAAACCCAGAGCACTTCTTTCTGGTTACCAACTACCCAATCCTTTGATTTGGCAACCCCCAAACTGCCTTAAACCCTCGAATCGAGCTAGTCTGTCTCCCAAGAGCTTACTCACAAGGTCTGTTAGTAGGGATGGAAGTAACCATTACATATCTTATTGCTACATGAAATGTCCTTCATTCCCAGCCAGAGCTATAAAAGCATATAAAGCACGAAAGGCTGCATTTACACATAACTGTGATGCCACCTGAAACCACTATTAGACTGTATGCCAAATGAGTAAGTGGGACTTACCAATTTTCTGGTTAAAAATCTTGTCAAAGGTTATTTCATTTCTCTCCTGGAGGTACTTCTGCATCACACTCCGGATACTAAAAGAGAAGAGGGACACGGTTTTAACGGTGACAGCCTGCATCATGAGAAACCATCCCTAGCGTGGACAATACGTGAATGTCTTAACTCAAGGATGCTGGCTGGAGAGAGCCCTCTTACTGACAGCCGTGATCGCACGGCCAGCTGACTACACTTAAAGCTGGGAGCATCATGGCTCCAGCTGGTATCCTGTCCTGTGACTCGGGGCCAACCTGACGTGTAGACACTGGACCAAAAATAACCCCAGGGCTGTGGGAACGCTCACCCTCAACACCACCGTTCTCAAAATACATACAAGTGTGCGCGCACGTGTGACACATTCCGCTAATGGATTAATGAGCTCTTTCTGAAACAAAAGCAAATGTTCCCTGGATGCATGACTGCGATTTTTAAAAACCACATTTCTATACATCAACAATAAACAGTGAGAAAACATAATTAGAAGAAGACTTCACTTAACGACAAAATAAGAAACACCAAATGCCTTGAAATAAACCCTTCAAAACATGGGCAAGGACTTTATGGGGAAGATTACAAAATGTACTGAGAGACATCACCAAAAATCTTAATAAATGGAAAAGAACACCATAGTTATGAACAGAAAGATTTAGTATTGCAAAAATTCAACATCTATCCAAGTTTATCTGTGAAATCAATTCAAACCCCATCAATATTCCACAGAGTTTTTCACAGAACATAGAAACGATTAGTCCTTATAAACTGTACCCAGAACAACATGGGATCAAGGAGAGCAAAAACATTTATGAAGAAAGAGAATAATAAGAACAGGGCTTATTATGAAATTAAAAGAATTAAGACAGGATAAACAAACTGATCAATGAAATGGAATAGAGAGCACATAAATATGGAACTTTAATATATAAGCAGCAAGGCAGAGAAATGGAGAAGCTAAGGATTATTCTGTGAGTGAACAAAAAGTGAATATCCAAATGGAAAAAGTAGAGACTGAGTCTCTATCATCCACTGGTGGGGGAAAAAAATTGGCATTAGCAGCCCCCTCTTGAAAACAAACTGATTAAGGGGTGCCTGGGTGGCTCAGTCAGTTGAGTGTCCGACTTTGGCTCAGGTCATGATCTCACAGTTCATGAGTTTGAGCCCCGCGTCGGGCTCTGTGCTGATAGTTCAGAGCCTGCAGTCTGCTTCGGATTCTGTGTCTCCCTCCCTCTCTGCCCCTCCCCCATGCATGCTCTGTCTCTCTCTGTCTCTCAAAAATGAATACATGTTAAAAAAAAATCTTAAACAAACTGAGGTATAATTTATATACGGTTAAATGCATATTTAAGCGTACCAACAGATGAGTTTTTCACATATAACTACTACCCTAATCAAGACGTAGAATATTTCTATCACCCCAAAAGATGCCCCTTTGCAATCAGTCTCCCCATACTCTAAGATCCAAGAAAATACTGATCTCCTTTCTTTTAGTATGGTTTACCTCCTCCAGTTTGAGAATTTTACAGAAATAAAACTACACAATATGTTGTCGTGTGTCTCACTTCTTTCACATGACATAAGCAAGCTTCATCCATAGTGTTGTGCACGAAGTGTTTAGTCCCTTCTCATCGCCAAGTAGTATGTCATTGCATGAACACTCCACCATTTATCCATTCATCTGTTGATAGACAATTGGGTTGTCTCCAGTCTGGGGCTATTGCAAATAAAGCCGCCTTAAATATCTGTGTGTAAGTCTTTTTACGGGCACGTGTTTTCATTTCTCATGGGCTGTTGGTCACGTGGTTAATTATACCACTGTTGGTCACGTGGTTAATTATATTTAACATAATGAAAAACCTACTGAATGATATTCCAAACTAACTGTATGACATTACATCCCCACCAGCAACACATGAAGTCTCAGTTGCTCCGTATTCCTTGCCAACACTTTGGTTATCAGTCTTTTCGGTTTTAGCCACTGTTAGGCAGTGTAGTGGTAGCTTATTTTAATTAGGATCTCGCTAATGAGTAAGGATGTTGAGTACGTTTGGACACGATTATTGGAGTACTTCTATCTCCTGTGAGGCATGGGGGTGAAGTCTTTTGCCTACCTTTTAATTGAGTTACTTGTCTTATGACTCAATTGTAAAATTTCTGACTATGTCCTGGAATCGAGTCTAGTGTCCGATTTATATGATCATAATATTTTCACCCAGTCCATACCCTGTCTTCATTTTCTTCATGAAGTCCTTCTAAGAGCACGTGTCTAGTCTATGAGTTCCGATTTATTATTTCTTTGATGGACCACGCTAAGAAATCTTATGCATCTGAAGGTAATAAAGATTTTTAACTTGGTATTTCCTTTCAGACATTTTAAAGTTCTAGCTTCAATGTGTACGTCTAAGATCCATTTCAGGTTAACTTTTGTGTATGATACAAAGTAAAACCTCAAGGTTCTTTTTTTCTTCCTAATACCTCGCTATTCCGATATCATTTGCTGGGGTAAAAAAAAAAAAAAAAAAAAAGTATCCTTACTCCATTGAATTATCCTGGCACCTTTTTTTGATACAACACTAAATTTGGGAAGGTCTTTCATTAGGCTATCCCTGTATCATTGATTTGTATGTCTACTCTTACATCAATACTATATTTTCTTGACTTTAGAGGTTTAGAGTATGTCTTGAAATCAGGTATCTCAATTTGGTTTTACTGCCTTTGTGGAGTTTTTGGTTGGTTCGTTTGTTCGTTTTTTGGCTATCCTAGGTTTGTTACATTTCCATGTAAGTTTTTCCCCAGAAATTTCTGTCCAGAAAAAGCCTGATGGGGCTTGGATTGGGATTGTGCTGAATCTACAGATCAGTTTGTGGGTATTGACCTCTTAGTAATAATAAGTGTAGAATCCGTAAGTATGATATGTTTCTTCACTAATCTAGGTCTTTAGTTTCTCACATCACTATTTTATAGCTTTCAGTATAGAAGTCTGGTCTTTTTTTTTTTTTGCAATAGCTTTCTCTGGTTTTGATATCCAGATACGATGATTCATAAGAGGAGATGGGAATAATTCCTTTCTCCTCTATTCTCTGGATGAGTTGGTGCCCAACAATGTTAATTATTCCTTAAATGTTTGGTAGAACTCATCAGTGAAGCCACGTGAGCCTAGAATTTTCTTTGTGGGAAGGTTTTGAAATTACACACTCCATTTCTTTCATAGATATAAGGCTATTTATATTTTCTGTTTCTTCTTGTATTAGCTTTGGTAACTTGTGTCTTTGAAGGAATTTTTCTATTTCATTTAACCTGTTTAATGGAACTCAAAATAATGATTGTGAGTAAGAGAAACCAGATTAAAAAAGAGAGACAAACATACAGACAGAGACAGAGAAAACACAGTGTCTGATTACAAAGAGGCAGAAGCAAACTTTTGCGTGATGGAGCACAGAGCAAAATAATATATACACACACATATATATTTGGGTTTTGTCCCAGTACTTGGCACAGAACTCCTAAAACCCTTGGAATTTTCTTATGGTAGAAGCATCTAATTCATAATAATCCCTTTTCAACCCTACATGAGTTTATGCTAATGAGGTGACTCTTAGCGGCCCATAGACAGCTTCAGGGCAGAGCTAGTTGCCAGAGAAACCCACCATGTGATTAGAGCGGTAGAACTATTGGCCCCATCACTTGACATCTGGGAGAGTGGAGACTGAGTTCAATTACCAACGACCAATGATTTAATCACACCTACACAATGAAACTTTGATAAAAACTCTAGAAAGATGAGGTCTGAAGAGCTCCCGGGCTGGTGACCCCATGGATATGCTGGGACACTGGTGCTTCCGGACAGGGCAGGGACGCTCTGTGCCCCACCCCTTCCCACAAGACCCAGCCCTATGTAACAGTCCCTTTGAAGTCCCTGAGTTGTATCCTTTACAATAAAATGAACTGTAAGTATAGCACCTTCTTGAGCTCTGTGAGTTGTTCGAGTGAAATCTCAAACATAAGGGGAGGATCATGGGAACCTCAAAACTTGTAGTCAGCCAGGCAGTAATGCAAAGAGACTACAGGACCCCATTTGCAGCTGGCATCTGAAGTGGGGCAGTCTTGTGGGGCTGAGCCCTTAACTTGGAGGCTGTGCCAACTCTGGGTAGTTAGCATCAGGATTGAGTTGAACTGTAGGACACTCAGTTGGTGTCAGAGAATTGACAATTGTTGGAAGGTGACAAAATGTATATGTGCGTTATCTTAATTTTGGTAATGGCTTCACAGGTGTAGATAAAACTTGCCAAATTGGACCCTCGAAATGTGTGCAATGTGTTTCATGTTAATTATACCTCAAAAAAGCTGGGTTGGTTTTTGTTGTTGTTGTCTTTCTTTGAATTATATCACCGGGATGTGATCAGCAAAATCATGAGTGTTAGAAATTCTCTACCACCCCTGACCCTATTTCTTTAGCAAAATCAACTTCAAGAGGGGAAAACGGTAGCAGGGCACCTAAAAAACAAACAACAACAACAAAAAAAACCCAATCGTATAAAAAATTGAAGAGGGGTGCCTGGGTGGCTTCTGTCCAGCTCTTGATTTCAGCTCAGGTCATGATCTCACAGTGCAGGGATCAGGCCCTGCATCAGGTTCTGCACTGACAGCATGGAACTTGTGGGGGATTCTCTCCCCCCTCTCTGCTCCCCTCCCTGCTCGTGTGCACATGCTCTCTCTCTCTCTCTTACTCTCTCTCTCTCAAAATAAATAAATCAACTGGGGGCACCTGGGTGGCTCAGTCGGTTGAGCATCCGACTTCAGCTCAGGTCACGAACTTGCAGCTCGTGAATTCGAACCCCGCGTCGGGCTCTGTGCTGACAGCTCGGAGCCTGGAGCCTGCTTCGGATACTGTGTCTTCTCTCTCTGACCCTCCCCCACTCATGCTCTGTCTCTCAAAAATAAACATTAAAAATAAATAAATACGCTTAAACATTTTAAAATAAAAAACTGGGAAAATGAATACAGACCAAATATCTGCCAAATACTTCCTTAGAAGTATTACAATTTAGCAGCAGCAATGTGTT